ACCAGGACGGAGAAGGAATGCGGGGGGGTTGACCTTGGCCCCCCTCGCTGCTGCTGCTAAGCTAGCAGCCTTGAGACAGAGCACGGAGCTCTGCAAAGGGGAATTTGAATCCCCTGAGGAAGGGACTTTCACGAAGATGCCCCTGCATTTCGTGATATACCTGTGGTGACGCGAGTCTGGTCCCTGCTGGCAGCCCACAGGTGAGGCCTTCGCTTGGACCGAAGGAGAGCTGAGGGGCTTGGAGACCCCCTTGTGTGTATCGAACAGAGATCCAGCTACAACAATCCAGTTACTGCTGCATGCGTGGGATGAGGAGACCTGCTGCCTTAGAAGAGATTCCTCCTGAGAGACTGGAAGGGATCTGTCCTTCTTTCCCTCCTGGACTTTTATTTGGAGGGGAGAGGAGATCTGATCCATTGTAAATACTATATGTCATGGTAGAGATAGTTGTGATCGTGTGTATAATGTGTTATAGTATTTATTTGTACAGTCATTGTAATATATTCCCTTTCCCCCATTCTGAGTCTGGTTGTGTTTTGTCTGGAAAAACCCATCTCACATTAGGTTGAGATGTGGGAGGGGGAAATGGAGCTAGGGAATTAGATTTTTGGGGCTATCTCAAACCATGACAAGCATAGATTTATTCTTGTTTTCCTTCTACCCTCTTCCTTTCTGGACATTTTATTTAATACTGTGCACTCCACCTCTTGCCCAAGCTGGCATAAATTGATAGGTATAAGCACTAATATTTCAGACTGCTGTAAAACTTTGAGCACCAAACCAATGTTCCAGTAGGCTGGGCAGCACCAGTCCAGGCATCTTCCACACTTGCCAGAGAAGAGATTGGCTAAAGCTATTCCTACAAGTGACTAAAATGCAATCTCCATGTTCATAGATCAAAAAAGTGTCTCAAACTCAAATCGAACTTCCTTTCCCCCCCCCCCCCCATAAAGTCCAGAGGCTTCTCACAGAAATACCAAAGATAGACTGACTTAATCCAGTGCCAGCTTCGTAAAAACTTTTCAAGGAAGAACTTACCTAAGCTTCAAATTTCCGTAATTTATACTAAATGTAGAAAGGCTTCTTTTCACAGACATGGTAAAAATTTTTAATTACAATAATCCTATGCATGTTCAAACACTAACTCATTATCCTGAACTCATCATCTTTAACCTGAATACTTTGAACAATTTATAGCCTTCCTTTTGCAAGTAGAGGGCATCTTTATAATCAGGTAAAACTCCACAGTTTATTTATTTCAATAAACCCTTTGCCATCTATTTTGCTCCAACAACAATATAAATGTCAGCCACTGGACAAAAGAAATCCTATTAAAAAAATTAATATTTTTTTCATTAAATTTCATTTCTATTTTTATTTTCAGAAAGCTCTTGCTCTTTGATTAAAAATCTCTTTAATCAGGAAATCAGAATTACTATCATACCAAACTCACTACATCTTACTGTCATATAAAAAACTTTTGAAATCTGGTATGTTTTCTTCTAGTTATTAACAACTTCATTCTTGTCAAAAAGTTGCTAAATAAGATCTTTTTATTAGGTATTCAAAGATCTTTACAACTTCTTAAGTATTATCCATGAGTGGGATTGAAGACTTCTTGATTCTACAAAGCAGTAATTTTCAATCCATAATTCACAAAATCTCAGAAATTAGTCTGCAAAACCCCTGCAAAAAATATTTAAATAAAAGTCTCACTTTCTTATGCATGTAAGCAAACAAGAGAAGGAGAGAGGTGGCAGTCATGGAATTCTCAATGTTAGGTTCACTTTGTTGGCGCTGTAAATGAAAACAACTCAGACAAAACCATACAAGACGATCCACTTATTTCTCCTCCCCAAAAAACAGCTGACAAGTTCTTTCATTAAATACTGAGAATCACTCTTACAGTGGTTCTTCAAACTGTTGACATAAGCTACACCAGACAACACCAAGATTTGAGCTTCAGCACCTCTGGCCTTTTCAGACTACAATTCTAAAATCAGAACCACCACCTAGAAAATGCAAGGTACCTGTTTTCTTTTTAAAGAAATTTAAATAAGTTTCTTCGGGTATCTTAAGCAATTAAAAGTTCCATAGTAGAATTTCTATCCATTTACCCATATAAAAACTGGATTGCAATATCAGAACTTAATTCCTTTTCCTTGAAGACCATCCCCTTTCAAACAGGTAGAGCACAAAGTTTGATTTCCAAGTTGGTTTATTGCACAATAAGGCACGAAAACATTGTAACTTCTAGTAGAGAAGTATGAGGAGAATAGTTCATCCTAATTTCCTTTTTAAAGCCCCTTGCAAATAGAACGTTGAGAAAAAGAATACTGCTTTTAGAATGGGCTTACTTTTTTGTGGTCCCTACATAGCACCATAGAGTTTAGATCTCTTTCAGATACAGACAGAATTCCTTAGTAATATTCAAATGTTTTATACATGATAGTGCAAGGAAGGATTAGTTTTGCTTAAATTTCTGTAAGAATTGGAAGCGGGGGGCAGGGGACGTAGAAGCAGGGAAGTAGATTTCCAATGACATGGTGTTTTGTTGCCTCGACAGGAGTAAGAAAGTAATACCTTCTTAATCATCTTGATATATTGAAGGCATATTCAGTAGCACAGAACCAAGCCATACTCCTAGCTATTTCCAGCAACTCACAAATATTAATTTATTCTCACAAGCCTGAATACTGAATCTGTGACAGGAGAATACGAGGCTGGGGAATAAGCAATGGAAATAGAGCTCCACAAACACACCGTTCACTGAAAGGTCTGTTGCACCAGAGAATGGCATTTCTAATAGTCTCTCCAAGACCCAGGAAAGCCCATCTGTTATTCTCAATGCTGAAAAAACCCTATTTCATCCTCAACATACACTGATGCCAGATATTTCAATCTAGCAATATACAACATACATCAGCCACCTACCTTAGAATATTTAAGTTCTTCTAATTAAGCAGTATTTTGAGAGAAAAGTTTTTTCAGTAGGCTGATGATTGTACATTAATTTTTATTAACTTAAGTTTACTCTGAGAGCTACAGGCAAGGCTGGAGCTTCCTAACAGAACAGTTCATAGCTGCATTGCAAAATATTGTTAAAATCATTAATATAGAAACTGGAATAGACATTTTCCTTTAATCCACTCAGACAAACAAAACAGTATATAATAGCAGGAACTCTTTTCTAATATCCCTAAAACACCTCAAAAACAAAAATTGTTTGTCTACATAGATTTGTCATTTTCAAGGTTTCTCATTAGTTGTTAAAGAACCAGAGTGAGTTTAAGTCAAAAGGGAAAAAAGTTTTGAATCTACTTTCTAATGAGAAAGCAACAACTTCAGAATAAAAGCATTTACAGAATTTTGGACAAAACTCATATTCTGTATTCTTCATAGCATGTACTTAATGAGTCAAAATCAAATGGTCTATTAAACCAAAGTAGTATAATTTATGTGTATGTGCATTTATATGGTCTATGTAACAATAAAACTGCTACTTAATTGTACATAATTTCTCTTAAAATATAAATCCTTCAACATATTACGCAATTTTTAGCTACTACATTTAATACCAGCTTTTTTTGTGTTTTTTAAGCTAAATCATAGTCTTGGTTATATATCTATAGCTCCACTGACTCACATAATATGCACAAACAAGCAGAATCAAAATGTTTTTTAGCATGCACAAACATACAACCATGTGTTCCCACGGGGACAATTACACAGTCAGTTACTTTCCTGAGCAATCCATACAAGATTTGCATGCTAGGATTATTAAATTTTAACTATGTCCTCAACAGCTATCTTAAGCATTCATTGAATGCATGTACTTTTAATTTTCACATAGTTTTCCAGATGTCAGTATTAATGGAGGGAAGTATAAAGTCCCCAGGTCACTGTGGTTTCCCTCAGTTTCTACAGCAAGCAGCCACATCTTAAAAGTAGTCAGTAGATTGCAAAGGTTCTAGAGGAAAGCTTATGAGTAAAGATATATGTTGACCAAAATTATTTTCCAAGTGAAGTCAATAATCTGATGAGAACAGATTGCATATAAACTTCACATAAGAATCAAACACAGCCATTGCTTTATTACTGAAACCTCTAGAGTCAATTATCACACAATTCATCAAGAAAGCAAGGCAATTTTAACCTGAGTGTTATCTGCCCAGATAAGACAGACAAGACCAGGAAGGGCATTGACCTGTTGGAGTGAGTCCAGAGGAGGGTCACCAAGATGATCAAAGGGATGGGGGACCTCTTGTATCAGGAAAGGCTGGGAGAATTGGGATTATTCAGCCTGGAAAAGAGAAGGTTTCAGGGTGACCTAACTGTGGCCTCCAGTACTTGAAGGGACCCTTCAGGAAAGATGGAGAGGGATCTTTTACAAGGGCATGTAGTGACAGGACAAGGAAAAATGGCTTCAAACTCAAAGAGAGTAGGTTTAGACTAGATATTAAGAAGAAATTCTTTAGTGTGAGGGCGGCGAGGCACTGCAACAGGTTGCCCAGAAAAGCTGTGGATGCCCCATCCCCCGAAGTGTTCAAGGCCAGGTTGGATAGGACCCTGAGTAACCTGGTCCAGTGAAGGTTGTCCCTGTCCAAGCCGGGGGGGGGGTTGAAACTAGATGATCTTTAAGGTCGCTTCCAACCCAAACCATTCTGGATGGATTAGATCAAGAATCATCGAATCTTGATTCAAAAATACCTCCTATCAGCTCTTGTAAACCTTGTCAACTTATCTGTGTAATTACACACTGTTTCAGTTGTGTTTGTTGACTGAAGCAGACTTGTTGTGGCACAAAATTATATGACTTAATCCTCATTTCTGTGGCACACACACTATTCTCCAAGTTCAGAAGTTCTGTGTGGTTGGGGTTTTTTTGAAACCATAACTGCATTTTTCACTTTTTAAACACAAGCGCTAAAACCACCTTAATGAGAATTTAAAAAAACAACAGGCACATGCAACATAAATACAGAAAGTAACATACTTACAGCTTCAAATGATAAATTAACATGTTCCAGGAATTTCTGCATTAAACCTTCAGTTAGTTGGCTGAAGCGATACCGGAATAGATCCATTTCTTGCTGAAGAAACCAACGCCTGAGATCCTCACTGCAAAGGAATAATGAAAAAAAAAACATAATGCATTTTCAGAACATGCATTCTCTCTTTCCTTAAAAACCAGACCTCAAACCTAGTGAACACGGCATTAAATATAATGCTGACTTTGGGATGTAACCCACAAACTGGGGAGCTTGGGAGTGAAGGCAGGATATCTTCAGTAATGCACACTCAATCAGAAAAGACTTCTGAAGAGACAATATAAAAAGAAGCATGTTTTGAAAGAATAGAGGTAGTCAATCTCGACACTAAAAATTGCTCTGTAGATATGAAAGCTGTCACTCTCTAAAATGATACCATTTCTTACTTGTTTTGGATAAAAATATTCAATTGTAGGTAACATTCGCCCTCAGTATTTAAAGAAAAGCTTATTTTCCACAACATGGTACAGAATTTCTTCATTGTACAACTAATATCACAATTAACCTGATGAGGCAAATACATTTTGAAGGCTACTTCTTTTAAGTCTCACTTTTAGGGTAGCTCCAGCTGAAGGAACATGCACACATCTCAGATACTATGACAACAGTGCTCTCCATTCTAGGCAACAAACAGCCTGGAAACAGGCAAAAGGAAAATATATGGAAATAAACTTGGGTGAGAAACACAAATAGAACATCCAATTCTTGACAAAGAGAAAAAGGGGTTTAGCAACTGCAGGTGATCAAGTAGGAGAACAAACAAGAACACAGGGACAGGAGTCAGTAGACAGTATAAAACAACAGCAAGTCTCCAAGTGCTCTAAGTTTTCATATAACTCTTTACGTTCCAGTGCTCAGATTCCCAAGCATCAGCGCACTGCTCAAAGCTATAGCAAATAGCTACCAAAACACCAGTAACAAAAGCCACCCTGTATGTACAAGCACAGAATGCAGATGATGCTGTATCTCACTACCACAGGGCACTCTCTTGAACTGTCCTCCAAGAGCTGCTGTGTAGGCCACTGCCATGGCAATTCACAGAGCACAGAAATACTGCAGTCTTACATGTTCTCCTTAGAATATCTAAACATCTTTTCCCATTGGGAACACATGGATCACAAAAGTCGTTTGTGCTTTTGCAGACCATACTTCTGGTTGAAAAAAAGTAATTATTATTCAAAGTAATTCCAGATGGAAAAGTTCTGCTCTAAAGTATATACTATAAGAAGTATAAACCTGTGGACGGTTTCAGTGCTTGGGACATACTAATAATCTGTGCAACTTAAAATGGAAGTTAATGACAGATCTGTTGCAGTTCTTCTATGTGCATCTCAGACAGTAATAAAATCCTAGGATGTGACAATTTTACTCTTTTCCTAGTTCATCAACTTCACACTGCATTTGTTTTCCTAAGTGGGAAAACAAACAAATGAAATATCAACACACACACCTACGAAAAACAAATCACAAACACAATTATTTATAGTCACTTTGGAGGCCAGCCAGTCCGTTGTTCTTCCTTTCCTTCAAAGGCTGTAATCCCACCTACACACTTAAGTTACCAAAACAAGAAAATATTACTAATATCTCTAATACACACACCTATCTGGATTCTTCCTATAGCTGACGAGCTGACTTTATACTACTGTGTATGTACCAGCATATACTTTAAAACTGATTTTCCTAGGATCATCATCACTGGAGCATTATTTACTTCATTTCTAAAGGCAAACCATAACTTATCCTCATTATTCACACGTAAAAAACTGTACACTCTCACTTCAGACACACATTAGTATTAATACTTATTATCAAAACCCCAAGTTTAACTGAAAAGCAATATCACTGTCATTAGACTAACCAAGCTGCTGGTGCACATGAGGGAGTTGCAGGTCACTAAAGTGTAGACATAAAGGATATCTCCTTGTTTTTTGCCACTTAACTTCCTGGTGTGCAGGTTACTCAACAGTTAAAACCAGTTCATAGATTCCCAACTATAAAAATAATATAAAAGAACAGGCTCTTTTTTATAGGGAACAGCACTTGAGAGAGTGGGATTGGAATGGAAATACCCTTCACCCCCCCAAGGAAGGGTAGGAAAAATCAGCATATTTGTTGGGAAGCATCAACACAGAAGTACCTGAGGAAAGGCATGTAAATGTTCATAAATCTGGAACTTAAGACTCGTAGCGCACAGTCCACAGTAATACCAGAGTTCAGTTACCAACAACTGAATACTGATTTGTGAAAACCCTGGGCAGGGGCCAGATCACTGTTAGGCAACCAACACCAGAGGATTCCTCAGAGTTTAAGTTCCAAAAAGTGACAGCAAGGGGAACATGGGTACAGAAAACACACAAAAGTAAATGCTACTCAACATAAGGGGTAGGAATTTTAGCACACGAGTCTAATTTATCATATAGAAAAAACAGCAGGAAGTAGTGAAAAGGCCTTGCCAAGTTTGAAAAAGAACTTATGTCCTTGTTCTGTGACACAGACCAAACCAAATTAACAAAAAGGCATAAAAGTATGTTTAATAGTTTTCTGAATAGAAGAATTTTGCTGTCAGAGCAGAGGCAAAATTTATTTATTCCATCTTAAGAAAGTAAAGTGAAGATTATGCGCCTGTGACTTAGAAGGTTCTTCACAGCCAATTTGCTGAGGTGAAGAGAGATGTAACATACAGAAGCAAAACTGCAGTCATGTCCAACATACAAAAAAAACTGTCTTTAGATCTGCATCTGTCATGAAAGCAAACAATACAAGATTATTCTATTTCCTGGTCCTGAGAGATATAAGTGACATTACAAGAGGTGTGGAAGAAAGGTATGGATGAGACTGTTCTGTTCAGACTGTACATACCCCATCTTATGGGAATAAGCTTTACAGTCTTGGATTTCAGAAGGCAGAAGAAGGAAAGTGAAGAGATGATGACTACATTACAAATTTAACTGACCAGAATGGTGGAGATGACCACTTCAGAGCATGTAAAAACCAAACCAAAATAATTCAATTTGTAAGTGAGGACTGATACAGACTAGAAAAAAAAAAAATCGATGTAAATTCATACCCCTGGGTGGCACTGTTGGCCAACTGGAAACTAAAAAATGGGCAGGAAAAGGAGCCTGTAAACACAGCTGCCACAGGAACTGAATTCAACCTAGTTTGCAGTTATGTCTATGTAAGTACACTTTTTCAATCATTCCTACCTTAACAGCCCTCATCAATTAACCTTATGACTTGTGCCAAGCTTATTTTTCTGACCTAGTATGATAAAAACTTGAAGCATAGTATATTCTATTTGCCTTCCAATTTTATCTTCTGGGGAACATGCCAGTTTTAGATGACAGAAATATCTCATCCCTAGATAGTTGTTTTTCAAGAGAGAATGAAGAATGCTGGGTACTGGGTCACCTCATGGGGCTTAAGACACTATTTTCCATTTTAGGAGTAAGCACTAAATCCACCTTTTCAAAGAAATGGCAAACGTGGAAACTGACTAAAAGCTGCTTTATTAATATGGAGCATCAACCAACTGCATATAAACTGGAACACAAAAAGTTGTTTAAAGAGTGCTCCAGAGCTCCATCCATGGTCCCTCCTCCGTCTAAAGGAGTCTGTCGCCCTAGACTACAAAGCCAGGCTGATTCTGTGGCCCAAAATAGATTGTAATCATTTCTGCATAGTGGCTCACCTTCAGAAAGCTGCCCACCTCTGTCCTGCTTACAGCCTAATTTTTAAGATACTTCCCTGAAACACACGGTTTGAACAGTGTCTCCCATTTGCTTACTATGCAAGAATGCCAGTCAAATAAATCCTCAAACAGAAGATAATCATCTTCTTCTAAAAAGACAGCTTGCAGAGAAAAAGAAAGCAGTCAAATTATCTGCATCTATCATTAATTCCAGGAGATTGTAGAGCCATTATGGATAAGTAGGGCAGGAGGGTAAAGATATCACATCACTGACAAGGGTAAATGTTTAGCCAAGTCCCTGCTGGGATATTTCTGACTGAGGCAGCCTTTCACTCAGCTTACTATCCACTTCATTCACATGCCTTCCTCCCTGCTCAGCACAGAGGACAAAGCCTAGTAAATTCCACTCCTGAGCCTAATACCTAACCTTCAGGCTTTTGCTAGGTGGCTTGGGTTGCCTTCTGTGAATCTGACCCAAACTCATTTTTCCTGAGGTCAGAGACCAACCCAAAAATAAACACCTCTTGAATTCCAGATCAGATTCTTGCCACTAGAAAATTCTCCATAAGAGCAGAATTCTTTTCAAATGTGTCATTACCAAAACCCTCAAAGCATCTAATCTTCCACTAAAAAGCAACAGTCTAAATAAGTTAAATAATAACTGAATGTTTAAAGTAAAGATTTACAAGAGAGGATAATGGAAGCCAAACTGACTATTCAAAATGCCACTACCTGCATAATACAAACCATTACAAGGGTCTTTTAGTACCCAGGCTACTTGAGGATACTATCTTTTAGAGGGTTTTGGTAAACTCACAACATAGGCAAAGCAAGATCATTTCTTGCAGGACCAGTATGACTAAGGGAGTTTATAAAAATACACACAACAAACACAGGCACTAGAAAGAAACCAGTATTACATCTGTTATTCACAATCACAAATTATACATGTAGAATACAGAAGGGTAGAAGGAATTTCAGTTGTAATTCTGTTATTTAACCTGCTTCCTTCTTTCAGGATTTCAAACTATGCTATCAGAGTCAATGCAGCGAAGGTTGGTATTGATCTTCACATCCACAACCTGTTCCTCACTGTACCTGCATCATAGATCTAGCTGGTTCATCGATCACATACATTGACAAACCATCTCCAGCACAGTCCAGATGCCTTTTGACAGGACAACATGAGGGGATGTAAACGATCCATAAGATTTCAGAGTGTTTAAAAGTGAACCAGGGCCTGTCATGGTGAGGTTTGATCTATCTGGAGGGGTTTGAGGCCTCTGCTACTTCCTATTCTGATCAGACGTTCTGGAGCAGGAACCCAAATCCATTTCAAAGACAAGCCTCGTTCATTCCAGTTTCATATTTTGGCTTAGACCACAATCCCACAATCCTTCCTGCTCACCTTTCCGGTCTGTTTTTTGCTGACAAATCTGTATCCAACCATAGCAGCACTTCAGTCACATCAACTATTACAGTATAATATGTATTCTACCACATTCACATAATTTAAATAGACTATACTGCAACTTAAAGTGCAATTGAATTAACAGTTCAAAAGAGTACATACTTCATATTTGCCAGGTTTAATTTTTAAAAAGACTACAACAGCAAGGAGTCAGGAGTTCACGCTAATGTATAACAAAGCTGCTAACAGACATAAAGCACTGACAGTCTCTATAATTTCATCCAAAAACTACAGGAGAAGCAACTACTTTTTACTTGAGATCTCACACAACAAAAAAAATGCATTGCAACCATCCACAGCAATGAATTTGGACAAAAAGTAGAGTCAGTAGAGGAAACTTCAAACTAAATTGTATTTTTAGTTTGTCAGAAGCAAGGCTCTCTATACAATAATATAAAGCCTATTTACATTGCCAGGTCTTTGGTCAGTTATCAATAGTTTTAGCACATACAGCAGTGAAATTATATTATTAATCACTGCAAATGCCTAACAAACACTTAATACTGACATGCTTTCATCTCAAAAAAAGATATGAAGAGACTCAAATCAATGCTCTGTGTATAAAAGCCAAAAGCTTGTTGTTTTTTTTTTATTACAAAATCCAAATACTAATTTTGATCCCACATATGCCTTTTCATCACAGTTGAAATCAGCTTCCTAGCAAAAAAAAACTGTTTGAGTCTACCTTTCAATAGAAATGCAACTCCAAAGTATCTGTAATGTCTATAATAAAACAATGTAGTATCTGTATACATTTAAAATTAATAACAAGTACAGCATAATCCAAAAAGTACTTACGACTGGCAGTAAGCAAGGCGTAGTATGAAATGAGAGATATGATCTTTTCTTCTTGCCTCATAATCATCCTCAGCCAAAGCCTACAGAATATATTGTTATTATTTTAGAGAAATAATTTCTCCCAGATTAAAAATTCACAATTAATTTACCATTGCTGTTCAAGATTGTCTAAACCCATCTTTTAGGCAATAAATGCAAACTATTAAGGAAGGAGGTAACCCTAAAGAAAGAAATATATATCCTAAAAGAAAAACTACATCTCTGACAAAATGACAGAACTGTAGTTTTAGAAATGGCATTTCATCACCTCTACTTTTATTCATAATTCTTGAATGGTGTAAAGAAAATAAAGTGCAAGAGAGTTACATGTTCCAATTTTTACTTACTCTGTAGGGAAACTTAAGTTTCCGGAGCTCATTCTCCAGCTTAGTTTTGTACGAATCAGTACTTCTTACATAGCTCACACCAAGGTTTTCAACTACTTTGAGCACTGGGCAAACAAAGAAAAGGTCCATGTTAGAGAGAACATGTTGAAAAGAAATCTAAATGTATCACAGCTTGGAAAAGGCACAAACTGGGGTAAGGCCACAGGAATTGCTTTTAGCGGAAGGAGGAGTAAAAGGGTGAGAAATGTAGAGGATAAAGTGTGGTCCACGAGTCCTTAACAGCTGGCCCAACCCCGGGATCCATAGAGTCAACAAGGAAAAGGAGACAGCTAACTGATGGATCACTCTCAGAACATCCGTTTCCACCGTAAGGACAGACACCTTGGATCCCGCAGTTTTCAGGAATTCAGGGGAATCCTTGGCTCCCCACCTGAATCGCAGTCCTGAGAGACACCAAATATGTCGCAACACCCATAGAAAGTGAAACGTGGTCGTAAAAACTACCAGTGTAAACCAAAACTACACAGTCCCGACGTCTACCCCGAATGCTTATGGTGAAATCTGACTCAGTTCCCTGAAATGCCCAAAGCAGCGCGCTTCCCTTTAGCGGGGGCTCCTGCCAGGAGCAGCAGCCAGCTCGCGTTCACATCCGGCAAAGGGAGCAACCGGGCCCGCCAAAAACACACACAGCCTGACAGGAACGGTAAAAAGCATCGAGGGAGGGCAGGGAGGAGAAGGGAGAGAGGGAGGGAGGGAGGGACGCTACTCACGCTTCAGGCGGTCGATGGCAAAGCTCTCGAACTCCACCAGCGAGATGCTTTCCGTGGGGGGCTCCAGGTAGAACTGCAGGCTGTGAGGGTACAGCTCCCGTCGGTCCCCAGCCAGCCGCAAATGCTTCTGCCTCGCTCGGCTGGAGAACTCCATCTCTGCCGCCCCAGAGCTGCCTCCGGCCCCGTCCCGTCCCGACCGACCCCCGCCCGCCGAGACACAGCCAGAACCCCAACCTGGTCCCGGCCCGAGCCCCGGCTTCCCGCGCTCCGCCGGCCACGCCCACTTCCGCGATGAGCCGCGCCTCCCGCGCTGCCATTGGCCGGCGGCAGTCAGGGGGCGGGGCCCCGCTCCACGTGCCCACACCCGTCATGGCGGTTCCGTGCACGCCGGGCGGAGCCTCGCTAAAAGGTGCCCGCACCCGTCATGGCGGCTCCGAGCACGGGGGCATCCTAGGGTCTTCTACAGTTGTATCGTTTTGTCATTTTTCCACGATACTGCAGGATTTGCCATTTCTGCCGCCCCAGTTGCATTTTTGCTGCAACTGGGGTTATGTTATGTTTTATGTCCCTGCCACGAAATGCCACTTACTCGCTAATTTTTTCCCCTACCCGAAAAGTTAGTTAATGATCTTGCAACAAATTCAGAGTGTTAAGGGGTGGGAAATCAGAACTGACGTATAGTTTGTGCTCACAAAGTGAGGAAAATCAGTAGCTTATGCTGGCAAGTTCTTAAGAGCAATGAAATGATCATGGACCAGGACACACACTGGTCTTGTGTTCCTGGGCAACACCTGAGACATTCCCAAGTAATCCGACTGCAGCTTCAACAAACACTGCGACTGGCAGCCAGCCTGCAGCTGCAGACTCCTTCTGTACTAGAAGATTAAACAAGGTGCTGAGCTCAGCTGATGCAGGATAATCCACTCCATTCTTCAAAATAAGATGGCCACATCTGCATTGCCTACAGAGGATATTGATGTGCTTGTGCTAATTTTCAGACTGCGAAGTGTGCTCTTTGGTCTGGGCCAAACTCTGCCAAGGGACCATGGGAACATTTTAACAGGACAGAAAGTCAAGCTTCAATCTCCAGGACTGCTCTGTAGTCTTCCAGGAAAAAAACATGCTATTGATATATTTTGATATAGACACTGCTCATCCCACACAGTTTCTTCCCTTCTCCACCTGGCTGCAACATGAGTTGGTCAGGAGTAGGAGTGCATCTGCCAAAATCCACCTAGTATTTGCAAGAAATCAGCTTTTGCCTTTGACCAGTGTGTTAATACCCAGAGAATGACAGTGCTCCATCCAGGGCAGGTCAGGTCAAGGAGTTTGGTCAGAGTTCCCACATTTGTTTAGAGTGCTGTACCTGGCCTGGACTGGAGGGGGAGAAGTGTGACAATGCTGAAGAGTACAGCAGAAAACAGCGATACTTTTCATTTTAATTAAATTTCCATTCATGTTTTAGGGTTTGTTTTAGGATTTGGCACATAAACAAACAGTACCACACCTTTTGAAATCATGGTATGCAGTTTGCTGGCCATCACTATTTCTACTGAACCACGTCTTGCTGATTTTTAACAGTTCAGCAGCTATGTCTATGTCTGCTGGTTTACTTCTATTTTTTTCATTTATTGTTGAATATTGATCCTGAAATTGTCTGTAATTAGGTGAAATCTATCCTGTTTCTTTTTTTTGAAGTTCACTTAACTAATAACACTAAGAGTATTGCAAAATATCATAAGATTACTTCAGCAGAAATTAAGAATCAAAATTAACATCTGTATTACTAGATTTAAATGCTATATTACTAGACTTAAATGAATCTTACAATGCAAGACCTTACCTTTTCACACACACCAAAAAATATTGGGAAAAGAAAATAGGAAAAAAAAAGTGAAAATTTATCACCTTGATAAAACTCCCCAAATTTAGTACTTCAGACCTTCTTACTGATGCATTTAGTGAGACCTACAGATGGTAATACTTCTCACTATAGCATTTTGGCTACTTTTTTTTAAAGTATATTTTCGTCACTCCCACAGTAACATTACCAGTAGGTCTGATTTTTTAAGTATTTTTAAGATAATTATTGATTTTGTAAAAACCCACCTCACAAATGTTTTACAACAACATCCATATGGTCAGCTGTCAAACTGTCCCAATCATCCCATCCAAACACAGTCCAATTTAGCATACCCCAAACTGTTCTGCTACTTAATTAACACAGTGTTGGGAGGAAAGGGTTAAAAGTGGGAAAATGAGGAGGAGGATGGTAGATTTGCTCAAGTGACCTTGAAGCTGGGAATGCCAAAGCCTGGAGAATAACAGTGTGGAAAACCCCATATATTGTGCCTACTGCTACTTATTCTGCCTCTGTTTTGAGAAGATTTCTGTGTAGAGATAATGTAGGTGTTTTGAGAGACTTTGAGGCAGTCTCATGGACATGTTTGAGCTCCCTGTTTCAGGAGAGAGAAGATTAAAGCTTAAAGATCATTAAAAAGCTCAGGGGAGATCACAGCATGATGGTAAACAATGCATGGATTGAGCTGGGATCCTCCAGTTAGCAAGGTAATGAAATAAATTTTCTCTTTTTATTTCAGCCATGGTTTTGTGGTTCTTCCAGCAGCCTGCCTGTGTCCACACACACATGCAAAATCCTTACTTGCATTAAATATATATCATTGCACAGTTGCTACTCTCACTTTTGTTATATTTTTGTTATATATTTCCTATATTAACTCACGGAGTGTCCAATGCTAATCTGTTAGAGCCCAGTTGTTCTCTATTTGCATAACTATATCTGCTAATAAAAGGGTAAATATGGTGATGCTGGTATCTAGTCTCTCTTTCAAGCTGTCCCCTTCATCCATCATGTCTGGGATGTTTGGATCTCTATGGATAGCAGAGATGAGTACAAAATGTCCCTTCTCTGCTTCTGGCTCACTTTCAGCTCTTACTGTTACTTGACAATCCTATTTACTGCCTGACTGAATTCTCATGTAATTCTGTCTTGAGATATATTGTCTTCATGACTTGTTGGGGTTTTTTTTTATGTTTTCACCTCTTAAAATGTTCTTCTTGAATAATTGTTCTTTTGCTTATACAAAATATTTATTTACATATTTTCCCCTCTATTAACTCTGTTCCTTTACTGATCTGACTTTTTCAGAAATCTTAAGTTTACACTTTTCTTTTAGTGCATTTATGTCATTTCTAGCACAACTTCTCTTTTCTTTTTTCTGTTTTGCAGTTCTCCATGCTTTTTATTACTTTTTTAAATGTTTGACATCTGGATTATACTGAGATTTTTTTCTGACCACGATGCACAGATACTTCTGTACTTACTATAAATAGCAGGGTAAATGTTCTGAGCTGGCCTTTAAATTCCTGCAGGCTCTGAAGTGAGTAAAGCATGAATCATTCAGTGAAGAGAGGTTCAGAGGCTACTTTAGTTGGAATACACTCAGTGTTAATTTATTTAAGTGGGAAGTAACAATAGTCGCATCCCTTGTGACACTCTAAATCTCTCTGGCTCCACTTACTCAGGGCTTTTGAATCCTGGATTTATTTCCCAAATCCCCTGTCCAAGACCCTAGTGCAGAAGCAGAGAAAATCTAGATATATCTTCACAACCTTCTTATATTTATCCTGACAGGCAGATCTATCATCCACCTCTACCCCTCACTGCATGCATCTTCTTCAGTATGTTCAGGGTGCTGTAGCAAATATGCTCACTGCATCCTTCTCCTACTATATATCATATTTTTGATCCCTTAGCATAATTTTTCAGTGTACATATCGAGGCAAAATCTGCCATTTCCCTGCACTAGGCTTCTCCAAAAGGATGTCACTCTTGTACTCCATTACAAAATGCTCCATGTGCATGAAATAATTTTGCCTGCCATGGTGGGGCTCGGGGCAGGGAGGAGGGAAGTGACCTGGTGGTTTTTTCTCTTGGTAATCTTGCTCTGATAATTTTTGAGCATCGAATCAATGTTAAAGAGAGAGGCTGAAGCATCAAAGATAAGATGTGCTCACAAATTTGAGAAATTAGAGCTTGAGCAATGAAAAGAGAGGGAGATTCATGGGAAAGAAAAGCACAACTTGGCCTCTTTGGTGTGTGGAGCAGCAGCAATCAGACAGTTAACACAAACATCCTGGCCAGTCAGCGTAAATACAGCTTGAGCTCAGCCACTGCTCCATCCTCTTCAGACAGACAGGGGAAGGTTTGAACTATTAAGAATCAAGACTAATAAAGTAGAATTCATTTGTAGACTTAATTTATTCTGCTGCATAAGGATCTCCTTCTTTTTCCTACTATGTCTATTTTTATCATATTTAAATTGGGAGTTTCTGAAACATAAAAAAATTTTCAGTCTCTCTATCTGTAGAGGTATTGATGTTTTCTTTTCTTGGAAATTATTACCACTAAACTAATTTACAAGAAGTAAATGCTTTTGTTAAATATAACATTTAAAATTTATTACATTTCTAATACTATCCTGAGAATGATTAAACTTCTACCTGTATAGCATTAAAGAATAGGATGGTTTTTTTATCAAGTAATCTGTAGGTGATCGAAAGATTTCATTAACTCCAAAAGTATTGCTATCCAACATAAAAACTAGACATAGCTATGTATCTAGAATGTGTTTAATCCTATGAGGAATTATTTGTCAGCATTCAGAATAATGCAAAAAATAAAGTTTAAAGTATTTTTGCGAGGAAAATGTCTTATTGTCTGAAAATTTTTAAATATTATTCTGTCTCAGTTAAAAGAAATCCAACTACTGCAGTTGAAGGATTTTGTACAGCCCTTTTGGTGTTTAATTAGGGTTATTGTATAATACAAACTTGACCATTTTTTGGCAGACCTCCTGTTTTAAGCCCATGACTTGAGCATGAAAAAATGTCCTGTTCATCCTGACACACACTGAGTGTTCAAATACCCAGTCACTGCATGAAACGGTCTGCAAAATTCCATCCTAATAGTAAGTAGCCAGCTGCCTTCCAGTTGCTAATAAATCTCTGCGTTAGACTTCTCTGAGCACTTACACCATTGCAAGTGAAAACCTCCAAAATAAACATCAGGGTGGGATCCAGTCTGCCTAATCTAGACACTAAGCCTACACCTACCTTTTAAGCTCTTCTTTAAAGGGAATAGTTTCCCATGGAATACCTGAAAAAAGGTAGGTATCCTGCTGGCCTCTGAAAGGCCATCTAGCCTCCCTAAATTTAGATGTGTAGGTAGCTGATTTGTTTTCCCTTTGTTTACCTCAAGTTTGTTTGGGTTTTTTGGTCTTTTTCAAATGTAAGTGATGCTTAGAAGTGGAAACTTAAGTATTTTTGCAAATTAGGGGAAAAATGTCTCCCTAGGTCCTCTTCCCCATTAGGAATAGATAAGAGGTAACTTCTACATTCCCTGTGTAAGAAAAATTCCAAATTAATTGGAAGTTGTCTTAGCAAGATATATGAGACAAAGATGGTTAACAAACATACTAGCCAATTCTTGAGCCACCTTCTTACTATGAACTAGATATATTTATGTATTAGGTATAACAACTTCTGTGTTCCCATCCAATGCTGACTGATCTCGTTACCTTGCAGAAGGGAAGAGACGATACACTCAGGGAATAACCAAGAATGTTAATTTATCTAGAGGCCTGTGAACATCTTGGTTTTGCTTTGAATACCATGGCAGCCTGAAAATTCTACACAGGGCAATGAGAAAGTCAAAGCTGTAGGAGAGGAGTACAGAGCAGGCAGTCTCAAAAAGGGAGAGACAGTCAAAGGTGTCCTCAGAAGTATGCTGGTTACACTGCCATCCCTACCTCCTAAATCACTTCATCTGTCATTCCTGTTCACTTAGAACAACTCAGTCCACTCTGACAGCTTCTGGGCCCCAGGAAC